TTAGAATTAACCAGCCAGGTCTCTTCAGTAGCCAAGAAGCAAGCTCTGGTTCTAGAGAGGTCCTTTCACATTTTTACATTACCTGAAGACCACCGTAGTCAAGAAAAGAGTATTCAGTTGGTTGCTTGCAAGCTTGTAAGGGCCATTCTGACAAAACACCTTACAAAGAAAAGGGTCTTGTCAAAGTAGAGTGAAACACAGAACAAAATATGTAATGATAAATGATGTGCTTTTGTTGAAAAAAGCTCATGATAGCATGTTATATAAAAACAGACAACACTGTGTGATAAAGAGGAGATACAAAAACTATACAATAACAACAACTTTAATTACAAAACCACTTGATTTAAGAATATTTAAGATGCACGCATAATATCAATTTTAATGTTACAGGCATTTAAACAAAAGGCCTGTGTGCAGGACTCAACAGGAGAATCTACAGTTTGTGTTGTGGTTGAGGGAACAACTCATCCACTCATGAACATTTGTATACCTCTCAACCTGCTTCCATAGGACATTAATAAATAAGTAAATAGGGGTGCGCTTCACAGCAGCAAACCTTAATAGAATGTGCTTTTACTAACACTCCTAAGTGTCATATGCTTACTACTTCACAAACACAGTAGTAAGCATATGACACATCTGGAGAGCTTGATTTTGTTCAACTCAACCAGGCTTCTGTACATTTTTCAAGTAATGGTTGGAAAACACCAAAGCTTGTATACAGCATTCGGTATCATTCACAAATGTCTCCATGTTATATTACTCATTTAACCTTGAAGATAATGTCAGATTCAGATCATTGACAACCCTCAATGCACATTCATTTGTTGGTTCACCAAAGAACAAAACAAAAGACGTGTTCCTCTAAGAAATGTTTTGGATGATTGGAGTCTAAATTATATTTCTCCATTTATTACTACTTTGAGACATTACTTCTCTACTTGACACAGCCAACAGACCTGTCTATTGTTAGGCCTTCTTAATGTGAAATAGCATGAAAAGCACAGGCACTACTACGTTAGGTGATACTATATGATGAGGATGATGCCATTCAATTTTTTGGTGTCCAGTGCATCCATGTTAGTGAGCCCGCATGATCACTACCAAAGATCTGTAGCGCTAACATCTAAACAGCCATTGTTGTAGTTCATATTTACACATTTAAGTTGTATGCTTGAAGCAGGATTGTTCAAATGAAAAAAAAGATAAATTGGCTGTGACCAGCTGTTCATATACTACACCTATTTCAAATCTCTCCTCTGCTCCGTGATGCATTTCTTAGCTCAACATCCCATAATGCCATCCTGCCTCACTGATTTCTGAGAGTAGCAATAGGTGCGTTCACACCGGAGTACTTTGGTGTACTTTTCCCACAATAGTTCATCAGAACTACGATATATTTGCGTTCACACCAAAAAGCCCCAGGAACTAAAGTAGCTCAACTTAGTTCGCGAGACTCGCTTTTCAGTCCCTGCCACAGAGCAGGGTCTTTCGTGGGAGAAAGTAGTTCGTACGTCTGATTGGCTGTGCGGAATGCAAACCACGCCCGTTTGACTCAGAATTTTTTGTTGTAAGCGGCCATTGTATTTCCTCGCTTCGCAGCACACACGAAGAGATTCCTTTTGTGAAAGCAGTTATTATAGCAACACTAAATAAATCAATTGGAGCGGTGGAGTGATGAGGATGAGGATGTGTCTGCGCTTCTGGCGATTGACTCGGAGGACGCGAAGCGCCACATTCAGAAGCTTCTACTGAATGCAGTTTCTGTGGCTCTGCAAAGTTAGCAGACCTGGCAAAGTCATGTCGGGACGACTACCAAGGTAAAATAAAATACATGCACTGCACTGTTTTAATCTGCACAATACTGGTCTTAGATGTACTTTTATTTGCTCAGTAGATCGAGCTAGCCATGGTAGAACTTGCTAACGTTAGGTCCAAGCGGGCTAATAACATCTAGCTAGCTAGCTATTCTCATCCATGCCCGCTATGAACACGTTTTGTCTTGTGAATAAGTGTGCAATGTTCTGTAATTTGCTTCACTAACTCATGGCACTAATCGTGTGTTTCAGGCGAGGTGTTTCTCTCAGGATTAGAAACTAGTTTTCCCCTCCGGGATAAAACGATAATATAACGTTAGCAATTAGCATGCTAGCTGGACCTCTGTGGCTACACTGAGGTAAACAATAGATTGTAGTTGCTCTAATTTCAAGTCATTTGCAACATTCATTCTACATGTTAATGGTAAAAGCTTAAACAGTTGATTACCTGCATGCCACAAAGACTGATGTTCTAATATTTTTGCACATTTAAGTAGAAATGTAATTGAAATTCTATTTACTGCCTAAACATTGTTCCTTGTATTATCCTAAATAGTTTGACCTTGTTTCCTCAGAAGGCTTCTCAGACTACATGGAGGATCCCTCAGAGAAACACAGTTTCCACGTTCAGTTCCCCCCCCGCTGAGAGTAGGCAGCTCCACACCCTGTGCCCGGTCCATCCTGACCGCTGCTGCCATACTGCAGCAAACAGGAGGGAACGGAGGTGAAAACACACTTTATACATTTAGATATGTGGAGCACAAAGAAAAGCATTGCTAAAAAACATTTAGCAGCTAAACTGTGGATAACAACTAAACCACATTGGTTTGTTATTCAATATTCAAAAGCTTTTTGAATCATTACATGTCACTTGTTAGACGCTTTTATCCAAAGCTTACATACTCAATACTGTGGGCAATCCCCACAGGAGCACTTTGGGGTGAAGTGTCTCAGGGACACAACGACATGCTGACTGCAGTGGGGTTTGAACCTGTGCTCCCCTGATCCGAACACCAATGCACTTATCCACTGCGCCACACACCTCCATCCTTTACTCAAGTAGAAGTACAGATACTCGTGTTTGAAATACTCTGGTAAAACTTCTTAAGTAAAAGTAAAGAGGGCTTTGAAATGTACTTAAGTAAAAAGTACCCATAACTACCAGCTGTTTTAAAGAGTACCTGACCTCCCTTTATATTAATAGAACAATAATGTCATTGTTAGCTAATGAATGTTTCCATGCTGAACAACGGCAACATGACAACGTTTTCATTGGTCCCTCTTCTTTAGAGAACAGGAAATGATGGATACACGGATCGTGTTCAAATCAATAGGCACGCAATGACTCTAAATAATAATGATCACGCCACCAAACACACATTCAAACTAATGTAACCAGCCTGTTTGGAAAATGTAAGAAGTAGAAAGTACAGGTATTTGTGTTCAAAATGTAAGAAGTAGAAAGTACAGGTATTTGTGTTCAAAATGTAAGAAGTAGAAGTAAAAAGTGATCAGAAAAATAAGTAGTGGAATGTACTTAAGTACAGTAACGAGGTATTTGTACTCCGCTACTTCCTACCTCTGACCAACGTGTATCTCTATATTCAGAGCACCCAGTATAAGACGGTGGAGCGGGTGGTGCAGACTCTGAAGAACCTGTGCTGTGCTCTGGACGAGACGGAGACCCAGGCCATCACTGAGGCCGTCAAAAGGCTGAAACACTCCGTCAACTTACCCCAGACACGCTCCTCCAAGGTGGGCTAACACTCTGCTTCACACGTTCATACAGAGCGTTGTTTACATGTTAGGAAGTGTTTGTAAGATCAACTTGTTTTGCTTTGCAGATGGGGTCCACATCGTCTGGTCAATCGTCAAATGGTACGTACACACAGTCACACTCCACCTCCACTTATTTAATGTAAATGTGATTGTTGCAGCTTATCATGTCAATGTGGTGCAAAGGTGCATTACAGACAGAAATAACTTTTAAATAAAGTCACTGTCAAGTGTCTAAGGCTATTTAAAGACTATGTGGCTTATTCTATTACGGTATGAATCATTCAAAGCTTCATAGCTTCATTAATGCTTGCATTAAAATTGTAAAACGTTTAATTTGTATCTATTTGTCCCTATCATGTCCTGAGAGCCCTCCATCCCCCAATTGCTAGTGCCTTCACCATTTAAAATGTTAATAGTCAAATCAAAGGTGTTCCCTGTGTTCCTCCTGTTGTGTGCCTGCAGAGACAGATTTGGACAATGTTGTGTCGTTGTAGCGATTAAACTGATCTTGTATCTTGCATATTTCACCTTAGGATAGTGGGCACGCGATGACAGCTTCCTTGACACCATCATGGCGATGGACCGCTGTGCCATGGTCAGCAAGGAGAATGAGGACCTGCGTGCCAAGGAGATGCACGACGAACGGCTGCTGCATTCACACAAGGCCCAGGAATTGGACGACCAGCAACAAAATACCTTTCAGGCTGGGCTTCTGGCAGTGCTAAGCGAGCTGATTAAATCCAACAGGCCTTCAATACAAAAATTAAGAAAAACTTGTCGTCGTTGTTGATAAATTGTACAATGACTTGTTGGGAGGCGTGTGGTGCAGTGGTCTGGTGCGTTGGTGTTCGGATCAGGGGAGCACAGGTTCAAACCCCACTGCAGTCAGGATGTCGTTGTGTCCCTGGGCAAGACACTTCACCCCAAATTGCCTACACCTGGGACAGTTAATTTTGTATTATTGTGATTATATATATATTGCCACTGTTATTATATTGTTTTGATACTACTGACACTTATTGATCTGCTTCTGATAAATAAAAGAGAACCTACATGCACAGCACTAGCATCATGACTGTCTTTGTTTAAACCAGCAGCAGTGCAGCGGTACACAGACTAACCTGTGTGTGTGTGTGTGTGTAACGTAGTTCTTCAGATGTGTATGCTTAACATGTATGTATTTATCACAGTAAAGATGGTATACAAAAGCTTTTTAAAGAGCTTTCAACCTCATCCCATTGTCTTTAACACACATTTAACATAATAATATACTCATATTAATATACAAATATACAGTATGAGTACTGTTTTGATACTGACATTTCATCTTTGCACAAAGGTGTGTCTGCACTATTGTAATTGTGTCTGTTGACTGTGGTAAATAAAAGAGAGAACCAAATGCACAGTACAAAAGATCAGCTTTATTGTCAATTTCCAATTTCCATGCTGTTCAGATGCCTCAAGGGCTGTGCGCGTGTCTTGCCCCGTGGCGATTTGTTTAGGTTGCATCTCCCCAATGGTTGCTTCCAGGCGAATACAGAGGAGTTGAAAAGATCCACTTTGATCCACTGCACATTGGTGTGCACCAGGCCGAGGTTCTATTGTTCACCCAGAGAGAGCGCGGGACACGACGCGTTCCGTAGTATTCGCATATCTGGAATACATACAAAGACACAAATTAGCCCTACATAACTCCATAAATCCTACATTAGATAGTATTAATGTGATTTAATGAACGTACCATTGCTGTTCTTTGGGCGTGATAACGGTCATCATCCTCAGCTATCGAAACATGTCCATAGCGTGTGCTTTTCGTGGTCCAATCCTTTTGTTAAGGCTTCTTAACCGCCTTCGCCTCCGACTCAGCATTTCTATTGCATTTGAATGGTCGATCTGTATTTTTATTTGTGGCTGAGTTATTGGCTTAAATAACTCCGTTACGAAGCTGTATAACACGAGCACCAAAACGTCAACTCCATACCGTGTCTGAGGTCGGAAGGTAAACAGAAGCATACAGCGGAAGCGGAAGCTTTTCTTCTTCTTCTCTCGGTTTTTTGGCGGATTGCAACTTTAAGGTGCATACCGCCACCTACTGTACTCGCCGTGAAGTTGTTTGCAGCCTGCCAGGAAAATCTAAGCAGAAGAAGAAGAAGTGACGTCAGCGGCTCATTTGCCTAATCCACCCCCAGGAACTCATTTTGGTGTGAACGCGATCTGCTTTAGTTCGTCAGAACTAAAAGAACTCTCATGAACTAAAGTTCTCAGGAACTACTGTGGGAAAAGTACTTGGTGTGAACGCGGCTATAGTCACCTTTAAACAGGGGTTGCCGTGGAGACTACATCAGTGCCATTGGTAGCAGCAGCAGTCCCTCGCTCGTTCCGACTAACATTTGGAGCAGACCCTCTAGCACACACACATAAACACATGCATACAGAACTGCACACAAGCTCCCAGATGTGCTGTGCATACACACTTCCTTGAATATATACTCAGGCTGAGACACATGCACATACAGCCGGATCAATGACACCCCTGCATTATTAATGATGCGTCTGCAGCTTTGTATGAAAGCACACTCAGCAGGAGGCTAACACTGGTATCCAACAGACCGAATAAACCACATTCATGCATTCTTTTCCAGAAAGAAAGCCCTGTTTTTACATACCATAAACCTAATTTCCATACCAATATTCATTGTGTCATATGTCATCGAGCTGTCACTTCAATGTGAGATCCATTTTGTCATTCCGAGAGATGAATGTGGGCTCTTTGTAACGAATCGTTGGAGGAGTGAGACAAGTGCTGTCAACAGCAACCTTCTGTGGACGCATATCCAATTTGATGCTAATTCTTTTTTTTTATATGGCTCTGTGTCATGTTCAATGCATCCTATTGTTGGTCAGAAAATTACATCATGGAAAAATCACAATACAGCAGCATTGAGGGAATACTACAAGATGCTGCATAAGTAAGCCTAAATTGAGAAAATTGAGAACAATGAAGAGAGTCACAGATAACAATTGGTTTGGAGAAAAAAACAGTCCTGAAAAAAGGCAAACAATTGCTGTAACATCAGCGATTTGGCACCTAAAAATCACTGCAATTGTCTGTTTCCAGTGCTAAATTATTACATGGTTCTTTCTCGATACCATGGAATAGTCCTGCATAGAAATATTTGATGATAGTCCACAGCACAATTAGTTGGTGGCATACAGAGTCAGTTCATCCTATATACCAAGATACAGGTGTTGGTATAATAATTTATAGAGGAAATAAAAAATTCTAATTTAAATGAAATGTAGAATTCTATCTTAAGACATGATATGCTCAACTTGTGATTAGACCTTGATGACCAGGGACCATATCTTACACCAGGCACAGTCAGGTGGCAATGCAACATATAATGGCAGATAAGGGCCGGTGTTTTCTGCCAGGTTGTGGGCAGGGCTTCCTTCCAGTGCTTTTTCTACTGTATATATCAGAATCAGAATACCTTTATTAGTCCCACAGAGGGGAAATGTACGTAGTTACAGCAGAAAAGAGCCACAGACAGCTTAATGTTACATAATGTTACATAGTTACATGCATTAAAAAGTAGGCTACTAAGTTACAACAACAAAAAGTTAGGATATAATATATAGATATAGATAGATATATATATATATATATATATATATATATATATATATATTTATGACAATGATATCCAAACAACATATCATCGCTGTTGACAAACTTGCATTTCCTCCTTAGATTTTATTATCCATTTGTGCTACCATATGTTTGTTTGACATTGTTTTTTTTAACAAGAACAGCAACCCATAGATGCTTGCTCTCACACTTTGTATGAATGATATTCACCGCTCAGTCTAAGAGCTGTAGATTGAGACGAACAATCTGCATACCGCAGTAATGGTACAACACTCACCAGTGGCACCGTTTAATACCAGCCAAAAAATATGTTCAAACCAAAAGGCTTTAGGTCTTTGTATATGTATTTTCTGTCCTAAGAGATGCGTTAAAAACAAGCTTCTCCAATTCGTTAAAGTGAGTTCACCAGCTCTTTACTGGAAAGTGGAGCTATTTTTATATTCAACCTCACTAAAACCATATTGCGCTTAAGAAAGAAGCTGGGTGCTGTGTTTTTCCAAACAATTCCTCTTGTCAAAGTTTTCAAGGCTACCCATACAGATTTTTCTGCAGCTGAATTCACATGACAAAAAAACAGCTCTGTGCTGGCCTTGCTGTTGTGTTTCTGCGCCCAAAGTTCCAGTTATTTCCACTTTGACCTCGTTATCATTAACCATTTAACGCTCAGCCAATCAGATGACAGCTGTATTTACTGTAGCGGTGCAAGCTAGCTAGGGAGTAATACAGAAACATAACGTGGCTGACTGTTTTCACCGCAAGGCTCTGTGTCTAACCTTGTGGTGTACAAAGAGAAAATTGCATATTATGTGAACCCCGCTTAACAATAAGTTATGATAATTCCACGAGTGCTGTTTTTAATAGCTGCATTTTTGCCTTGTAAATATTTAGGGTATGTTGCTTGCTTGCTAGGTAAAGCCAACATCTGTACAGTTCTTAGGCTAAGGCTAACAGCTAACAGTGAATTTGATCAGATCGGAGACACAGTCAGAAAGTCAAGTGAGAATGTCATTAGTCAAATGTTGCACTTTATTACAACTTGCTTGCTTGTTCAGTTTCCCTAGTAATTTATTAATTTCCGAAGACCCTGTCAACGACATGATATCATTGTGTTAATTGGACATGCAACAGCTCAGTAATATCCAGCCGGAGTGCTGAGAGGCTGCACACTGTGCCATGTTTCACAGTACTGAGATCATAATGACAGGCCACTGACGCCTCCGACCAGGACCTGTCTGACAGCCAGCGTGAATCACCATCATCCTGATGGCTTAATAGTGAGGTGATTTTATGCATGTTTGTATGCCATGTCTGGGTCATCGCTGTTGGTCAAGACCTGATTTGCTGAATAAAAGGACGGATTATATCACTTTCAATAGTGCAATTGAGGTCATTATGCAACTATGTGTGCTTCAAAATTGCACTTATTAATATTTGTGACCAGCTCTAACAAAACCAGTCACTCTGACTCTGAAACACATATTCAGTTATACACAGGTTGTGTCCCAATTCAGAGGCTGCGTCCTCCTGAGGACCCAAAAATGAAATGCGAAATGAGACGGTCTACGGAGCATTTCCTGGTACGTCACCGGCAGTTACTGCCCCTACCTTTTGCCGCCCCCGTCGCCTAGCAACCAGCTGCAGTCACAAGTGCCGGTAATAATTTATTATTTTAGGCAAAATATTTTCAAACTGTTTGAAAACAGTTCAATATGGAGTCAGAGATAATTCTTTTTTTTTTGTGTTGTTCAATATGTTTCAATTAATTTCCCGACGGCGCAACAGGTGCACCATCTATTTCAGATTAATGGAAGACCATTTCCAGGTAATGATACTTATATCTATTATCATATTATAATAGATATTATATACAATATATATGTACTGTATTTTTAGCTAACAGTAATGTTAATATTAGCCTATAATACATATAAATGTTATTTCTCTGGTTGAGTATAGCTTGTGTATGTATATATATATATATAGCCTATATATATAGCCTATATATATATATATAAACATGTCTATGCAGATATATTTATACACAAACACAGAATATATGTATGTACTGTATTTTTAGCTAACAGTAATGTTATTAGCATATAATACTGATACAAATTTAATTTCAGGTTGAGTATAGCTTGAGTGTATATATACCTAAATTATTAGCCCCCCAGGAGTTATGGAACATTTTCCTAAAATTCTTCCCAATGTTTCCAGCATTGATAAAACTTAATATAATCAAACATTCACCAGTGCTATTTAGTAGCTTTTGGTATATTTTGGAAAATAAAATAAGTTTTTAGGCTTGCTTTATATCAAATATAGTGACAAATGGGTTGGTCAAAAATATTAGCCCCCAGGCCATTAATAGTCAATAGTGTACCCTTTCTGAGCCACAACTGACAACAAGCTCTTAGAGTAGTTCTTTACTAGGTTGGCACAGGTCTCTTGAGGGATTTTGGCCCATTCTTCCATTGCAAATTGTTCCAGCTGGTCCAAATTGCGTGGTTTCCGAGCATGGACATTCACTTTGAGCACCCGCCACAGATTCTCAATAGGATTAAGATCTGGGCTATGTGCGGGCCACTCCAGCACCTTGGTTTTGGTGTCCTTTAGGAACTGTTGGACCAATGTTGATGTGTGCTTTGGATCATTGTATTGTTGGAAGACCCAGCGACGACCTAACCGAAGACTAAGAGCAGATTTGTTCATATTATCCCTCAAAATGTCAACATAATTTAAATGTTTCATGATGCCTTGCACCCGAACAAGGCTCCCTGTGCCTGAGGCTGCAAAACAGCCCCACAGCATGATGTGTTCTTAGGGTTGAAGGCCTCTCCTTTTCTTCGCCAAACATAAGCAACATCCATGTGCCCAAACAGTTCCAGTTTAAGTCTCATCAGACCAAAGCACATACTTCCAAAACTCATCTTTACCTTTCAAATGTTCACGGGCAAACCTCAGTCTGGCTCTGATGTGCCGCTCTTTGAGTAAAGGGGTTCTTCTGGGACGATGGCCCTGTAGCCCACCACGATGAAGAGCCCTCACAACTGTGTTCCTTGTAACATCAACTCCAGAAGAGGCCAGGTCAGCAACAATCATCTTGGCAGATGTCCGGGGATTCTTGCTGACATCTCTGACTATTTTCCTCTCTAGAGTTCTTGAAATCTTGCGCTTTCGACCACACCTAGGTTTGTTTCTTACA